GTTTCTGTCCATCTGGTCAGATTTGACATCAGGTTAGGTTCACTACAACACCTAGTTGCAGCTACACACCAAAATGGAAGTCGGTGCTGCACCTGTTGTTCATGTTATCATGCTAATAACATGCATGGACAGACAGAGAGCCTTTCCAATTACCTGTTCTTTCAGTCTAGTCAAACTATATTTAGTGAAATAAGGTACACATGTCCTGATGCATGCTCAGTGCATCATTGCTCAATGCAAGCTCAAGGTACACATGCTTCCTTTATCAAAAAGGTTGCTGAGTCCTGAATTATCCTACATGAACTTGAACAATTGATTATGGAAGTTCCCACAACAACAATGTATTGGTAACTGCTCTGCTGCCTAGAACCAGCTGTTCTCAGAGGTTCCCTGTTGAACACCTACCAGATCTCATAGCTCTGTTCACCAATGTGTTGTCGGTTTTAACCAGAAAGAAGGGCTGGATCATGCGATGGGCTCGAGGAGACGAATCCAGCTTGTTACCTGTCAGGCTGCACACAGAAACACAATCATTCTCATCACCAAATTTTCAGATGAAAAGAGGATGAAAACCTTACATTTGTTATTTTTGTTACCACAGAACTTGTACTTTCTGACAGAGACCCACCACCCCAAGCTGACCTGTGCTTCCTGTAGTCCTTTAGCTTCTTATTGATAAGCGCATGTCTGGAGAATCCAATCTCCTAAAAAATAGGGAATGTGCGATTGAGCTCAGTGTGTGTTGGTAGAACATTTAGAACACTGACTGAATATATTGTGTAACCTCGTTATCACTTTTGCTGCCTTCCCTGATGACCCTGATCCAGGCCAGCATATCGTCTCTGTCCTCAGCCTGCAGCAGGTATTCGCAGAAGTCCTGCGTGGTCAGCCTCAGTGTGTGCTTTCTCTTTGTCTCACTGTAGGCGATGTCAATCAGGCAGCCCAAGATACTAATTGGTGAATGTTCATCCTGGCAGGGTCCGGCCCCTGCACCGTGAAGCACGGCCTCCCGCTTGTCTTTGTAAAGGAAGAGCGAGTGGTGACGGAGCACGCTGAAGACACGTTTCCATAGCCGCATGCTGCCACCAAGTTTCTATAAACACACAGACAATAATGAAATATTGAAAAGAAAATAGTAAATGATAAATGGACTGTTGAGCATAAACTTTGATGGACTGGACTTATATAGCACCTTTCTATCTAATCAAGATAGTCAAAGCGCTTTACAACACAAATGTTGCCCTCATTTACTGATACACACACACACACACATTCATACAACACTACTGCATCTGTACAAAGACTAATCTGAACAAAGTGCTTTAGATCCCCC